TCAGCGCTTAGCTTACGATACTAAAACTACAGAAAGAGATGTCGAATCACGAGGGACCTATATGCTCGAGCGTAAGCATAGAAAGACTCTTGAATCAAGAGAATGGTGCAAGAAATATGAGAGGCTAGAGCCTCTTATTTATAGAAAACGAATTTTCGAAAAGCTCCCTTATAGTTATTTAAATGACCGTTTTTAATATTATTTTAAATATATTAATGATATTTGGACTAAATTAATGTCGAAAATATTCATTATTAGTCTTATATCGACCGTATTGTCGATACATGTCTAATGACTATCAATATGTATGTGTGTGTCTATATATATATATATATATATATATATATATATATATATATATATATATATATATATATATATATATATATATATATATATATATATATGAGTTATACTTTATTTTACTGCGTAAATATTATTTTATAAATCATAACTTCTTCATATGAACTCCGTTCTCGACGTTATGTATATTGACGGATTCGTATTTACGAGGACATCAACTTTTGTTTATACTGTTTTGGCTAAAAAGCAATCGATCTCCAATTCACTTTTTATGACACACATTGTCGTGTCAGGTTGAATGCAAAACTTCCAAAAACATCATAACTTCATACGAAGTTAGATTTAGGCATTCTTTATATCCACGAAATTGTGATCACGACTACTACAACTTTCGTTAAGACTATTTATCTTAAATAATATTTTATTTTTAAACTTTATTTTATCGCGTTGATGATAAATTATATTATATACTCATAAAATTTGTTCACATAACGTGTATACGATAAATAAGTATTTATATAGCTTGTAACTCGAACGAAGAACAATTATCATTTTGAAAATGATTTTATTTGTTCGATAAAATGTATAACAATTATTATTATACTTTAAACATCTAACCCGGATTTGCGGGAGTTACACAGGTTAGAAGAGAGATGAAGGTGGGAAGACATGTTGATTGGAAGGGTAAAGCCAAGGGGTTGGGGGGTTGTTTGTAGGTTGGTGGAGCTCGTATCCTTACTATTATATCAACCAAAACGATCAATTTCCTAATCGTTAATTAAGCCCAATAATCATTTGTTACTAAACTAATAAATTCTCCAATTACAATTACCTAAAGACTTAACCCTGTAAGTCGTTAGTCTTATCGATAAATTCTCAATAAAGTAGGGTATATAACCTTTACCGTTCAAATTAAATATTCAACTACTCACCAGGTTCATAATAGCACCGTATCAAGAAATCCCGCAACACATACTCGGTTATAAAAACCCTCTACAAAACATTATATAAATGTATTTACGTAAAACGGGATAAAAACCTCCGTTGATCCCGTAAATCGAATCACATACCCTCGTACACTAGTACGATATAACGGTAGCGATTGCTCGGAAACACCTCCTGAGCCGCTACCCCGATCGAATGTGAAAAATCCCTCAAAATGACACAAATGAAATCTATTTATTCATGCACATGACCACGCCATGATGGTTTATTGACCACGTCGTGTTGTTCAGGTGGTTGTCGACATGACACGTATTCTGTTCTCATACCACGTATCCTTCAACGCTCGACACGTGTCTCGGTGACTCACTCACTACCACGCCGTGCTAACCCAAGAGTTGACCATTAGACTTTGACTTTCGTTGACTTTCTCAAAATAGCAACATACTTTCATCCTAACTTCAAACAATCATAACTTTCTCATATGAACTCTGTTTTCGACGATATTTATATTCACAAAATCATCTCGGCGTAATCTATCACCTTCTTCCACGAACTCCTGTCCATTCTTAAATGATAACACCTGTTATGAAAAATGGGTATTATAATATACATGGTTCATTTATTATACAACAACCCAACTGTTTTCTGGACTTTCTACAATTCTTTAAATTCTTCAGGTATTCCCACCTATCTCGAACAAAGATACCCAATTCATAGCTCACTTCTTCCTACATTTCAAACTTTTCCCAAAGCATTACGATGATTTCCTGAAAATATGACCATTTTACCCTAACATCTGTGGATTTATTCGTTATCCCTAAAAATACTAATTCACGCTACGTTAGTTCACCTCTAAACCTTAGAAAAACGTCATAGCTGCTAGCACTCACGTGAGGAGAGGCCATGATACTTGAAGAAGTATTGGAAGCCATTGACACTGGATTTGTAAGGATGGAAGATGAGGTGCTCCTCTTCTTGTATAATACAAAAAACGAACATATGGGTGTAATTATAGTCAAAGGCAAAAATGTAAGTTACTAAAAAAATATGACCCACTAGTCATTGCACCAATGAAACACCAAACTTGCAAAAATCGGAATCCCAAATCAAAACTTCTCTTTGATTGTCTGATATGAGATAACATTTTGTCGAACACCTGGTGGGCTACTTTTAATATAGTTGCAAATGAAAAAGAGTTGTCCTTATTGATATTTAGCCACATTTCCTGTAGTAATGTTGATTCAAAATGCAAATTAAATTATAGAATTTGATTCACATAACAAATTAACATTTAAATTTCACGATTTTTCCAAGTGGTTTTCTGGAACTAACCTGATATCAGCAAATCGGGAAACAAACTATTATTTGAATGATTTAAAAAATCGGGAAACCGATCAAATCACTCTTTTGGAGATTAGTTCTTGCTAGAAAAATCGAACAAGGTTTTAGTTGGTGAAGACCTCGTTTGTAACTTTGGAATTCTTTGTCGGTAGTGGTGGTGTTTTGATAATCGATAGAAAAGAGAACTTGTGTAAAGAACTTCAATGGTCAATAGGTGTGAAATCAGTCCAGAACCCAAAAACATGGAAATTCGTGTAGTAATTAAGAACCAGTGAGTGATTGAAATTAGGGAAATTTGTAGGGCTAATGTCATAAAAGTCCTTAAGTTTTCATGAAATATTCGGTTTTACCCTTTTTCATATTTTAGGTGTGTTAAAACCGCAACTTTGCATGAAATTTTGCATTCTTACCCTTCTAAAAGATTTCCAAGTTAATAGAGGGTTAAGTACACACATGGCACTGATTTGGCTGACGTAGCGCCACATAGGCGCTGAGGTGTCATTTCCTTTTTTTTAAATAGTAGCATATAGGAGGAAAAGATGGCACTAGGGAGGGTCGAACTCAGAACCTCTTAAGAGCCACTCCACAAAAACAAAGGACACTTGAACTAGGCTGAAAGATTATTTTTTTTTGTAAAATACTCCTGAAGTTTGATTATAATGTATACGCTGAACGATTTTCAATATAATTAAGCTTATTATTATTATTATTATTATTATTATTATTATTATTAATGAAAGTATAGATATAAGTATAAAATACATTTTTATATGTATTTATACATTTTAAATACATATAAATATATTTTTAAAATGTATAAACACATCTAAATATGAATAAATATGTTTTCAAAGCATATAATCATATAAATAGGAAAGTGATTAAACATGTATATATAATACGTTAAATATGTTTATACATGTTTAAATATTTAAAGATACACTTTTTAGACGCTTAAATATGTTAAAAACATATTTTATAGTTAGTTGACGTTATATATAAATATGTATAAAAACGATATGTATAAGTATGTATTATATGTGTATTTTATCATGTGAATATGATTTTTTTTCAAATACAAACATTATATGTATAAAAAAACATATTTTATGTATTTAAACGGTTTAAAAATGAATTTATATATTTATATATTTATATATGTATACAATATATAAATATGTATTTAATTGTATTTGTACATATATAAATACGTTTTTAAACTGTATAAACATATTTATATATTTATATATGTTTACAATATAGAAACGTATTTATACTTTTATATGTTTTGAAAAGTATTTATTCATATTTAGATGTGTATACATTTTAAAAATATGTTTATATGTATTTATATGTTTTTAAAATGTATAAATACATATAAAAATGTATTTTATATATTTAAATATGTATTTGTAATTATATTTATACTTTCATTAATATAAATAATAATAATAATAATAATAACTAGAGAAGAAACCCTGCTTTGCGGGTGTTGGATTTGCCACTAAACAGGTCGACTTTATTAATGCACATGGAAGCCATTACATTAAAGACGGTTTATTAAAGGAAACCACTGGAAGTCATTACGTTAAAGATGGTTTCTAGTCGAGTGGTTCATCGTTTATTAGACGTTTATAGTTTGCAATCCTTTTGTGGATAGATCCAATCATAAAAGCTATATTGTCCTCCATAGAGAGGTCGTCCGTGCTGTCTTCTTGAAGGAGCTCCTTCAAGATTTTGTAGTAAGGTTGTTCTTCTTCTGTTGAAATGATGTTGAAAGAGTTGTTGTCCATGATGAAACCTTCCACAAGTTTGGTTTGTGCTACTTCTATGAGATCTTTAATTTCTCGTAGGTAGGCGATGAGTGAGAAGAGGATGGTTTTAACAGTTGGTTCTTCATGGGTTATGTGTTTTCCTTAAGATCAGTGTTATGCACCATATGAGAGGATTGGATATTGGGCTTATTATATATTATTGTAAAATGTGAGTTGGTCTTCTGGTAAAAACGTGGACAGTAATAGGCATTTCCAAGTTGCATTGTCCACTATCGAAATGGTGTGGTGTCCTATTTTCGTAGTTGTGGGTGACTGTTTGAATGAAGTTGTGGGTGTATATATATTCTTTTTGTTAAGAAATTTTAATATGTGAAGTACATTTTTTAGTTTATTTGAATTAGAAACGTAAAAGAATGAACATTTAAATATTTCATGGCTGACTCTATCAAATGGGGAAAAAGCATAACTGAAATAGGTAAATATTAGATAAGGTTGTCCATCATCATGTAGGTACATTCAGGAAAGCAAAAGAAAGATGATGGTTTGTCATTACATATATATAGGATAGCAAAAAAGAACACATATATGTTAAAGCATGAAACAAAAAAAAACCATCCGTCTTAACCTCTGAGGCAGCTACTTATATGGTTGGTCATCCTGAGGAAGGTTTTTTATTTCTTTCTTCAGATCGTCGATCATGCTTTCTGCTTTTTTCTTCAGGTTATGGATAGCCGCAATCATTTTGGCCACTTCGTACCTGTTATTGAGAAGTAACTTCTCCATCTGTAGAAAGTTGTTGTATTTCGGACGACGATTCATTTCTTCCATCACCTTGTCTTTTGTTTGTTGGTGGTCAAAGTATTTATCTTGTAGGTTTTCGAGCGAGAGATTCTCATTTTCCAGTTGTTGGATGAGAAGTTTAAGGATGTTTTCCATTGCTTATGGCTTCATTTTTTTTTGCAGGGGGTTTGTGATTGAAGTTGTGCGTGGAGGGGTAATCAAATGGTAATGGTGTTGTGAAGTATATTGATGGGGCGCTGTGGTCGATGACGTTTTCGATGCCCTAATTAATACGGGCATTACTTTGGAAGTGAAACTGATAGGTTGGACTTAAGGTAGAAAGCAGTTGTATTTAAGAAGTCTAAGCGTCTATCTATTGAAGTAGATATTATGGGTAGTTGTATTAATTGTTTTTTTTTTTTGGGATAATTTTTTTTCTCTAATTTTGGACTTAAGAGGTAATGTTGTCAATAAAGTTTGTGTATAAAACTTATCTTGATAAGACATATGTGGTTCTATATGGCGACGTAAATAACGTTTATGTGAGTTGTATGTCCTGTTTGTATTTGGATCTGGATTAATTGTTGTTTATGTATGTGGGGAATTTCGAGTGAATATAAAAAGCACAACATAATACTTTTTAAGATCATACATAGAAAAGATAAAAAGATTACATGGATGACATAATGTCAAACTTCTTGGCTAACAGGATAAGAAGCTTATCAGATATATATATGGGGAATGTCTTTGATGATCTTGGCATAGGCCTCCATTTTTGTGTTCAATTTCTCTTTCATGGCTTCGAAGTTGTCCATCATAAGAGTTGTTTCCTTGTCGACATCTTTGATGAGCTCATTCGTGATGATGTAGTGGGTGTATGGGAGAAATGTTGGTGACTGTTTGAGTATTTTTAGTCTCATATCAAACAGTGTGGTGTATGTATTTTGGACTGCAGAGAGCGTAAGCTTCATGGTCTTCACCTGGTCAGTGAGTTCTTGCATGATAGTCTCCATTTTGGACCAGTTGTGGTTTCGTTTGTGATAGTTTGTTTTGATTGATGAATCAAAGTGTTCTTTAAATATGGAATGTATCGTTGAATGTATAAGGTGGTTGGCTGAGTTTTATTGAATGTTGTGTTGAATTTACTGGGTATTGTTTTTTTTTAATTTATGGGATTGGTAACCTATGATGTAAGTATATGATCACCTATCTATATTAGGTAATAGATGTATATAGGTAATAATAGTGTTATTGGGAAATGGTGGTTACTTCTTCAGTTGGTTTTTGATTTGGAGTTCATGCATTCCCTTAATTGTTGTGTTATTTTTCCTTCTTAACTTATTGTACTTGTTACATTTATTGGTTTGGGTGACGTGATGAGTGAAGTTTTTTTTGTCATTTTGTTATTTACTGAATTACTAGATTTGATTTTGAAACGTTGAGGTGTTGGTATGTGGTTTGAAAGTATTAATTGTTGTTTATTTTTTTTCTTTAACCTATTGTATGTGCTACATTTATTCGTTTAAGTGACTATTTGTCTTATAGGGGTAGTTTTTCTGACTATTTGTATTTTTGTTACCGTTGGTTATCTTGGGAATGCTAGAAAGAAATGTATGCTTTTACTTACTATTTACTGAAGTAATATGATGAAAGATTGATATATAGATGATACCTTTTTGGAACGAGGTGAAACTTTTTTTTTCATTTTGGTATTTAGTGAATTATTGGATTTGATTTTGAAACGTAAAGGATTAGGTTTGTGGTTTGCAAGTGTTAGATTCATGTGGAGGTAGTTGTTGGAAATCACATACAGTGGTTTGTTAGTGCAGGATTACATATTCAAAATATTAGTGCATATTGTTTGTTGATTATACTACCAAAAGAGGAGAACGTTTATGCATAATGTTGTACTAAGTAGGAAAGAAAAAGCAACATGTCCTCAAAGAACGTTTGTGTAATAGAGCATCTATTCCTTGCGGGTGCGCTTTGGATCCTTTGTTGGTGTTGGTTCGTCTGTATGAGAGAAAATATATGTTAGAGATTTTTGTTTTTTGTTTTCATTTTGGTGCTTGTATATGTACCAGTAGGGTTATACGACAGACTGCGTGCAACATGTGTTGTTGATGCGGATGAATCAGTTGTGTTGTGATGTGATACGAACCTCGTCATTGGAATTTGTGATGGCGTTGTCGGGACTATTGTCTTCGGGACGGTTCTAGATTCCTCTCTACTATTATGAAACGAAGGTTGTCCAGAGTGGATGCCTTTAGCATTTGAATTGACATTGTTTTTGTCTGTCCATTGTGTTTGCTAACAATTGAAGGTACAGTTTTCTGTTGATAACTGGAATATCGGATAACAGTTTTTCAAGAGTGGAGTTTAGCATTTTGCGGCATGAGGTATCAGATATGATTGCAGATATCGAGTCGCTTGAGTCAGCAATAGTGAGAGTGAATTTGTGGCTGCATTGAAGAAGGTTTTATTAGTGTAGTATCTAGCATAGTATTGTTTTTTTGTTAATGCAAAGATATGCTTACATGAATGTTGGTTTTTCTATGGTTGCATGAGCACTGTAGTACCATTGTGGGCCCCTTTTAAAGATGGTATCTCTGTAGTCCGTACATGTTATCTGGTACCAATTGTATTGAAACAAAAAGTCAGTGATTGATGCCTTTACGACGAACGTTTTATCCTGGAAGAAGATAGTTCCAAGTTGTATAAGTTTGAGCGGGCAATGTGTCTACAATTGGAGGTAGTGTTGGTGTGGTATTACCGAGAGTTTAGATCGGTTTTTTTTTATGTCGTGCAGAGTGGCTAGTATTCTGGATGGTATTGATACTGGTCTCGAAGGGCCGGTAAAGTTGCTGGTTCTTTCGTAATTAGTATAGAATCACTTTTATAAATGAAATTTGAGTTTTTATGAGATATGTGGCTTACATGTTTATCATGGATGTTTCCTCTAGTATTTATGGGTTTACGTATACGTGAGTAGCATGCGATGATCCGTGGCGTAGTATTCCTGCGAAGCAGAAGGTTGGTTATAAGAGTCAGCATAGGCTGATTCATCATGGTTATGTAATTTATGTATATATGGGGGTGTGTACAGGTATTACAAGCAGAGGTAGATGGTTTTAGATTTGTCACCGCAACTACTGTGGTTGCAGGCGGCGGGATCAGGAGGTCACGATTAAATTTGTGTGGGGCAGTGATGCATTCTTTCCATAGGTTTATTGCGATTTCGCTGCCACTAAGGATTTTATGTGTGGTGTGATTATTGAATACAAGGGTAGGAGTTGACAATTAAATTTGTGTAAATATGATATTTACCTTTCGTTTGCTAGAATGAGAAGTAGGAATGGTTCTCCACTCTGCTTGTTGCAGTCCTTGATCTTTGATAGTACACCAATGAAGTCTGAATGGGAGTAAGTGTTAGTGTCTGACTGATATGTATGGAGTAGAATGAGTTGTTGAAGTGGATACCTAGATAATAAGATGGGTTTTCTCCGAGTTCTATGAGTTTTGGAAACAAAGCGAAACTAGGTTTTGGGTATAGTTATTGTGTCTGGAAGCGGTTTGATTACAGAAATGAGGCCGATATCGATGTAGAATTCGTTTTCCAAAACCTTTTGATGTCTATCTAATTCAGAGCAACTGTATTCTGATATGGTGTAGCAATTTGACACATTAAGTACTGATTTGATGTAAGCTTGATTGGTCCGTTGTCCAAGAATTTGTATGGCATCTCCCAGGGAAAATAGTAAGTTGTGAAACAGTGTTAGTAAACCGTGATTGGTGTATGTAGATATATCCAATATTGGTTTTTATGAACTTACAAATCTGTTGGCGGCTAGGTACCAGGATCTGTATCGACGAATCTTATGTTTCCACTTGCGTAGTATTCTAACCTGTATGGGACCTCCAACACTGTCACACTTTAGCTCAGAGATGCTACCCAAGATTGTTTGGTCTTCTCTGGTAGGAAAAACACCGTGAAAATAAGTATCGTATGCTGGTGAACGTTTCATTTAAATTTGAAGTACGATGTTCAAATGTATAAGTGTGAGTACATATGCGAAAAATAAGAAACTATATTAGAAGTAACGATTATAGGAATATGAATAATGGCTATAAGAATGTGAAAAGAGTGTTTGTTGGTGACATTGTAGACCTTATTAGGAGTAACTATGCGCAATAGATCCTTATAGACGACATTTTTTGTTTGATTGTACGTGTTGCGGTCATTAGTGTTTATGATGATTTTTAGGGAAGTTGGGGAGGTGGCCATGGACAACGCTACATACAGCTTTCCATGTGTAAAAACAGACTATGATAAATAAATAACAATTTTTCTTAAGGATTTTCCCTAACTTTTATTGATGGTCATGGCGTAGCACAATTTAACTGAGAATTGTTTTTGTGAAAAGGTGTATGGTAAATCTGATGGCATGTGTATGAATTTTATGCGTGGTATGTACACACGTTTTCCGATACATGTGCATGTTATTATGGTCGCTTCAATTACAGTCGGAAGCAATTAAAAGACAATTAATCGGGTACCGTTACACAAACCCTCTCTCTGATTGATGTTCCTCAACAACAATATGGGTGTGTTTACTTTTAGGTGAAGTGTGTGAGGTGGTATCCCTACAAATGTTAGTTGGTTTAGGTATTCAACAGGGTAGAGGCCTTCCAAATCATACGTGTGTTTGCCATTTGGTTGCATTCCGTCTGTGTTGTTGTATGTCCTCTCGTTCGTGTTGATGATTTTTAGAATGTTTGCATTTATGTCGTCGACTACTTCGTTTGTAGGACAAACAATTTCTCTAACAGAAAGGTCACTGGCAGTTGGATTGTCAAGCATGCCATTTCCGTACACAACATTTATAAGATCCTGTAGCGAGTCAGGTCCAGGGGATATCAACAGTGAATCTAGTATTCGAATCCAAGTTGTGTTATGTGGATCCTCTGTGTCAGGTACACCTACCACTCCGTCTTCGATATTGAGTAGCCAATTCGCAAAGGTAGTTGTTGATAATGCGTGGGTGTCGGTTTATTTAGAGGAAATAAGCCTCATATTCTGACGCAACATGCGAATGTAAAGAAAGGACCATAGGTATGAACTTGGTAAAGTAAGAGCTATGATTTCAGGGCGCGTA